TGAGAAGAGATGGCTCTTATTTCTGTCTAACCTATTTATGCCTACATACCAAGAGAATAAACAGTGACTTCTAAATGTTACCTCCATACCCGATAATTTATGCTTCTAACTTTAACTACCCTTCTTATAAAGGGTTTCCAGAAGGAATAAAAGGCTTTTTAGAGGTCAAAATACTCATCTTCATCTTTGGTTTTAGGGAAGGAACCACAGTGGAGGCATACAGGGATTGTGACAATTGTCTCTCTGAGGTACTAAGACTTGGTGCTAAGTGTGTTTTATGCAGGGGCATCCCAGCAAGGGGAGAATTGGCACATCAGAAATTGAATGCTTTGGCTTGGCTCTGGTCCAGGATCTGAAGGTTGGTTAGGATGTGACAAGTGAATGTCTTAAATCGACTGATCAGTCACTAGGGAGAAAAACAGACTGACTATGGGAAAGGAACAGACACCTTGACAAAACATGCCTCTGGGTGGCTACCTCACCTACTGGGTGTCCTGGAAACCCAAGTGACATGGCCTAATGTGGTACCGATCTATTTGAGGACAGGAAAATTATGATAAACACTTGCTTAAGAGAGAAGGGTGAGACCCAGAAAGGAAGGTAAAGGATAGAGGGAGAAGGAATTAAGTCACATCCTATGTGAACACAGATCATGAGGCTTTTGATTCTAGTGGGGTATTTAAACAGTGGAGATATGAATTGGAGTCACACTGCCTGGGTTAGTGAACTGGGTTTCTTCATTTGTTAGTGTTCTAATTTTCTTTTTTGAGAAAAACTACAGAGCAAGTTACCTTCCAAACTACAGAACAAGTTACTAATCATGCTCTGCCTTAGTTCCCAGCTCCCTCTAGACTAGGGATGAAAACAACACAAGCTGCACAGAGTTCATGAGGCTCAAGAGAGTTAAAATATGTAAAATGCTTAGAATGCTGCTTGTCACCTCTTTTTCCTTTCAGGTACAACTACTTTTTATCTCCACCAAAGGATTAAGAGTTACAACAACAAGATGAAATTAAGACTAATCTATTTTATTTCTTGTCAATCAGATATGGAAAAAGGTTTGATGGATTTCAACTTAAACAAATGAGTCCTGAGGATTAGATTATTCTAATAGTCACTCGACTTACCTCACAGTATCTTCATATTATCACTGTCCACCATTTCAATGAATACTTTAATGGGTTGTCTTAACACTTTTGGAAGCAAAAGTTATTGAAGAACACTAACAAATGAAGAAGAAAACTATTCAAAGTAGAGAGAGTTTGAATGAATATAAGATTCCAAAATCTGCTATACTTAAGCCACAAAAGAAATTCATTTCAGAGAAGTCAAGTGTAAAGCAAGACTTCTATGTTTATAAGTGGATTTAAAACATAATTAGAACTCATGAATGTATATTAAATATAAAAATAAAATAAAGTAGTTATGCTAAAGCATTCAATAATCCAAAAAGAAGAAATCAAAAGGATAGAGTTGAAATTTTTAATTATACATATAATCAGAATATTTCAAACACATAGAAAAAAGTAAAATAAAAATAAAGCAATATTAGATCAAAGAGATAAGGAAAGAACAGAACTGAAAGATTTAATACTACTCATTTTCCATAAAACATAACTTAGATTTAGGGAAAAGGTGTTTATTTTTAAAGAAAAAAACCTAAACTAAATATTCAGTTGCATTTTACTGAGTAATGTAACATTTACATAATTTAACTAAGTGTAGCAAATTACAGTATGTGAGAAAGAGTTAAGAATAAATGGTTCAAGAAAGAGGGTCCATACCAATACTTTAGTTATGCTCAATAAGTGGAAAACCAATTAGTTATGTCATGACCATGAAGAGCACCCTCAGTGGGGCCCTACTGTTTAAAAGGCGACAGGCAAAGTAGTTATCCTAGACAAGTTTTGGTGAGTAGCCTGACTTTTATCTTCCATACAGTATTTGCAAACATAATTATGATGCTGATTTAAGAACACTCAGAGGAAAAGATTGCATAGTAGTGAGAACATATTTGCAAGGCACAGATCTTGCTATGCTAATACAGTAGCTTTTTTGAGCTAAATGTGAGTGAATAAAGGGAACTGGGCAGATACCATTTATCTACATTTTAACAATGCTTTCAATCCTGGCTGCGTATCAGCACGCTGAGAAATTAAGAGATGAATTGTATAAATGATGTGATAGAGTGAATGAATTACCAGTGGCTTATAAATTGGAAATAAAGGATTATCATTCTTTCAGATGCGGAAATACATATACATACATATATAGATGTAACTAAGATTTCAATTTACAGTTAGATTAATTGTATGAAATAAAATAAATGTAGCTTATACATTTATCTTTTTCAGGGAAGGTAAATTTAATGACATTCAAGAGTGCAGACAACCCATAAGAAAAATAAAAATTGAAAGCAAACAACAAATAATAGAGCTAGTGGTTTAATTTTCCTTACAAAATATAAGCAAAGGAGATTTACTGAATGAAACATATCTTTTTATCCTTTAAAATTAGTGTCATATATATTATTTTACCAATAGAATTTTTCTCCAACATTTTTGGTAATAATTTTCTTATGGTTTTCAGATGCACTGAACATTCAGTAAGCTCATGGTAAAGACTTGACAAATCGACACTAGCAAATATTTATAGTATTTGGATATTCCTTGGTTTCGTTTTTCAGTGGTTGTAATTCATTCTCTATTGGGTAAGATCCTGTCTTAGAAAAGAGACATAGCCAAGTTGGGTTACACTTTTACTGAGGTTATTTGAAATCTTTTTTGTGTGTGGTTTGATATTCTTTTGTTTTTAGTTGTATCATTTTTTTTAATTAAGGCAACATTGGTTTACAATACTGTATATGATTTAGGGGTACCAACTGCTAACTCAAGGTAAGCTATTTAAACATTTATTCATTCATGCTATGGTCATTTATTCATTCATGCTATGATTTAAGAAAATGAGTACCTACTATGTACCTGGTATTACAGTGACTAAATCCTAGAGCTCATACTCTAGTTAGAATGACAGTTACAAAGATGCTAAATAAAAGTTATGACTGGGGGAAGGGGCCAAACTTTTCCAAAAATTCTCAGGTACTGCAATGGAAGTAGCCCTATATATCACAGACTAAATGCAAGGTCAGTTTGACTTAGTAAATGTCTAAATGAAAGGATACTTTCAAAAGAACACAATATAATACTCAAGTCTCTATAGTTATTTAAATTCTTAATAAAGTATCTTTTAAAGGAAGTTTAGAACTAATTTAATAAAAAGAGATTACTAGAAATAATTTATCAATGACGGGTTCTGAAATATTTTAAAAGTTCTTTCACTAGGGCAGCTGTCATATTACTTTTTTCATATTAATAAATCACCTAGCAATTTCAATATCTGTGGTTACCACATCAGTGCCATCTTTTCAACTGACTATGACTCCAATTAAGATTTGAATTAATGGGATTAGACTAACAACTATAACGTATTTTCACTATGTTGGTTGCTAATAAATACCACACTTATAATTTACAGTACCACAGTGTTTTATAAGGACTATTATCTTATTAATTAGTTACATTGATCAGAATACCGCTAATACAGTAGTACAAAAATACTGTAATTTGCTTAGACTATTTTACATCTAATATTATATCTATTGTACTACAAGTGACCATAAGCATAGCTAAAGACAGATTAGCTTCCAATAACAATGCCAAATGTGCACTTCAGAAAGAAAAAGAGAATTCTACTGAGGATTCTTGCCATTAGAATTCACTTCTTTTTCTCAATGCACCACAAATTTAGTTGACTTAGGACTAGAAGATACAGTCAGAACTCATGGAGCTCTAAAGATCAGAACATTATAACATTTGTATTTAGAAATTCATCCACATTTAGTTTGAATCTGCTTTTTTGTAGGGTTCTGTCACCTAAATCTAGCGATTTTTTTTTTTATTCACTTTGGGAATATGACTCTTATGGAATTCTGCTTTAAGCATTCTATATCATTGCACTTAGACATTTTAAGGTTCCATTGGGTCACAGCTTCCAAATAGAAGTTGGGAGTGCAAAATTTTTTCTGGATGCCATAGTAAAAAGCTAAGGAACTAAGATAAAAATTTCCAATTACATATTTAGATAATAGTATATTCAAAATCAGTATTAACATATTATCAGGCTTCAATTTTTTGAAAACTCACAGAAGAAACAGTTATTCTGCTAATTAGCCAGTAAAATGACATGATTGCTAGTCCAATCTGGACTCACTGAGAACAATTTGCCTGGATCTTGCTTTAAGCACTGTAATTTTTAACAGTACATATAAAGCCTCTGCAAAGGAGAAAACGCAAAATTTTCAATTGCATAAATCACAGAGAGCAAGCTAAACGGGAAGCAAAAATTCATTAGGGGAGATAAAGATGTGCTAGGTTTGTTTGAGTAATATATTGGGTAGGAACTTCAGGTTATTAAAAGAAAACATTTAATCCATAAATATAATGACATGAATTTCTTTATTTGAATTATGATTATTTCAGGCATTTCCTGTTTTATTGTTCCTTCTTAACAACTTTTTTATTTAAAGTTTGCTTGGCAAACTTTTTGAAGACTTTTCTTCATCACTGCTAAAATATTTCAAAATGTTCAGATAAATTCAATCTATTTCTATGACTCATTTTGACAATTCAACTATAAAAGTCATAAGGAAACAAACCAACGCCGCACTACTTAATAAATTTATATATTCCCTGTTTCCCAGAATATATACTAGTACAATTATAAGCTAATCTCATGTCGGTACCTGTCAGCGCCAAAAACATAGAATATATTGTGGTTAGTACTTTAGTTAGTACCATAGTTCGGGTTCCTGAAGCAGCCTGAGGTCGCCTCTAAGGCATCTGATTGTGTCCCACAGATTATCCAGGCAGTGAAGAGAATCATAACAAATAGTGACTATTCACTACCATAACTGTTTTAAAACAAAACAAACATGTCTTTAC